CATATTCCCAGTGACCTAATGTCTTTCCAAAAAGGCCCATGCCTAAAATTTTCACCACTTCTCAGTTGCACTAAGGCTCATAATCTTGTCTTTTTTTTTTTTTGTGGTACCGGTTTTGAACTCAGGATCTTGTGCTTGGCAGGCAGGCGCTGATGCCGCATAACCTAGTCTTTAAACTAGATTTAGATGATACTTCTAAAGCATTGCAGTAGTTATTTTTAGGTTAGTCAGTTATTAGTATCTGTGCTTTTTCTTTAATGTAGAAGGTAGTACCTGGTACAAAATAGAAATTCTATGACTTTTTGGTAGCAATTGTTGACTGAACAGAGAAGAATTAATAAAAAATATATGCCTTATTTACTTGCTTTAAAGTACAGTAATCACCATGTGGTAGTGATTCGTCACCTAACTAGTTAAAATGTTGAAGCTGTTAATACATCAGTGCTAAATCTTTTTATTTGGGCCACAAGATATAATGAGGTTTGTTCAAAACTTGATGCCATTGTCTCATCAGTGGTTCAGTATTCAGAGGCCATAAGGAACTTAGAATATAGAAGGTTTCATCCTTTTTCTGTCATTCTTAATAATAGTATTTAACACAACTTTGAAAGAGATGTTTTCATGACCAAGATAAATGGATTGAATTGTTTTCATTCCAGAATTGACATGTGGAGGGGGGAGACTCTGAATACCTAACGTTTGGGCGGAAGATTTTACAAATGTAATTAGGCGAATATGATGCTACTGTGTCGGGTCATAGTCAAACATGGATGGTGTTTTTGCAAGTGGAAATTAGGACACAGATACAGAGGAAGGATAGTGTGGAGATGTGGAATAAGATGGCCATCTCTAACCAAGGAGAGGGACCTACAACGTATGCTTCCTCCAGCACCCTCATAGGAGCCCAGCATTCCCCAACACCATAAGCAAATATTCCAGCCTCCAGGACTGTGAGAAAATGAATGCCTACTCTTTAAATTAATACTTAGTTTAAATCACCTCGCCAGTCTGTGTTCCCTTGTTATGACTACCCTAGCAACAAATACACAAGTTTTTGAAAGATTTCTTAACAATTCAGAAGAAATTCCCATCTACAAGATATGCAAGTTTACAAATTATTCCCATTCAGAAATCCAATGCCTACACAGAGAAAAGGGACGTTCCAGTTACAATTTATTATGTTAACCCAGGTGGCAAATGCTGTTGACTGGGGACAAGCCAGTAAGTAGAAGCAGATGTTTTGAGAAGGACTAGATTCCAAATGCATCAAAAGACTGAGCCGGGCTTGTGGCTGAAGGACTATATGCAAGATCAGCTGGGCGAGAGCAGGAGGAATGATTTTTGTACAGGTAGAATGTAAATGTTTCTGTGCAGGTAGAAGTGTACATGGTGGACACCCAGGTGTAGAGGGGCTCTCAATGACCATTGGCTCTCAACTGGCCCTTCAGCCATGCCATCTACTTTCTCTCTGTCAAGTGGATTCTAGGCATTGATCAAGGAGATGTGCTGAAGTCTTAGGCCCCATCACTTGATCTGTTCTATATCTCTGTGATGTGTTTTCCAGGAGTCACTGGGGACTGGAAGAATCACTTCACTGTAGCCCAAGCTGAAGCATTTGATAAAATATATCAAAAGAAGATGGCAGGATATCCTCCAAAGCTGTTTCCTTGGGAGGAATGTTGAAAACTTCTACATGTTCTATGGGTACTATGTCTTTTCTCCTCACCTTGTACTCTGCATACCTGGGAGGCTGTTGCATTAAACCTATGATTTCTTTGTGAAGTCTTGTATTATCAAATCTTTACATTTTTCATGGCCGGCTTTTGTGTGTACCCATACTCACTTCACAGTATCTACACTTTAGAAATCTTCATAATGTTCATGTCTATACCGCACTACAGTAAAATATTAAAGAATTACCCTAAATTGTGTCAAATTGTTTCTTTATTTTGAAAAGAAAAAATAGAAATAAAAATAAAAGAGTTTCAGAACAAGGTAACAGGAGAGTAATAATAATTGTGAATTATTGTCTTCATGGTAGTTACTCAGAGTATAAAATACAGGCATGGAATATCATGCAAACAATAGTATCACAAACCTGTCTTTTCAATGAACTCAGAGAAATTAACTGTATAACTCTGTTTATGACATTGTATATAGATAGCACACAGTTTTTCCTTTTCCCTTCCTTCCTTTCCCCCTTCCCTCATCACAGTGTCAAATTTTTAGAGAAGGTACAAAATCTACAAGCAGCTAAGGCTATTTCCTATCACTTCCAGGAATCATTGCTATCTGACCTCAAATATTATACTTTCTAATCCAGCTTTATTTTCTTAGGTGGTAGTGTTTCACCCCAAATAACAATCAGTTACAAGAAGGGCATATAGTGCAATATGTCGGTCAAGTTACATGTTTGTTTACTGCTTTTTTATTTTGTGGGAAATGAACCAAAGCAAATTAAGGTGGACTGTCTGGTTCATTTCACTTAACATTCCATTGTCCATGTGCAACCATTTTCCTATAAATGTCTCCAATCTGTCCTTCTTGATGACTAAGTAGTATTCCATTATGTACAGATACCACATTTTCTTTATCCAGTTGTCTGATGATGGGCATACAGGCAGCGTCCAAGATTGAGCTATTCTGAATTGTGCTCCTATGAGCATGGTGTGCATGTATCACTATAACATGATTTCTTAAGCCCTTTCGGGAAATTACGTAAAAGTGGAATACCTGGGCCATAGGGAATTCCTAGTTTTAGTTATTTGAGATATCTCCATACTGATTTCCATGATAGTTCTAGAAGTTTACAGTCCTACCCACAATGTAGGAGGGTTCCTTTTTCACCACAGCCCCACCAGCATTTCTTAGGTTTCTCTTTCTTTCTTTCTTTTATTAAAAAACACACATCTATTTACAAAATAACACAAGAACAATACAAGTAATACTGAATTTCAGAGAAGGTAATAGGAAATTAACAATGGCTGTTGCATTACATATTGATACCTTCAAAGTGATTACTCGGGAAAGCAAATATAGACATGTAAGATTGATCAAACAGTTAATCATTAACTGTTCCTTTCAATAAAGTGATAGAAGTCATGGGAACAACTATGTTAGCTATCCTGTATGTACATATCTACATAATTTCCCCCTTCTTTCCTTTCTCTTTTCCCTCATCCCAGATGTTCTTTATTGTTGAGCAGTTTTTTTTTCATTTCCCAATGTCTATCCTATCTCCTAATTTTTATTCACTCTTTCAGACTCTTCCAGTAGTGAGACAATAGTTATTGAAATATGTGGGTCTGATTTATTTCACTTCTGAGTATGGTCTCTAGTTGTGATTATTTGTCCTTGAAAGCCTCAAGTTTATCTTTCTTTATAGTTGAGTAATATTCCATTATATAAAAACAGCACAATTTTTTTTTGAAATTCATTCCTCAGTGGATGTACATTTTGGCTACTACATCGATGTAGCTATTACAAATTGTGCTGCTATAAACATAGGTGCACATACATTGCTGTTATATGCTGTTTTCAGTTCTTCTGGGAAAATACCCAGAGGGGGAATAGCTGGGTTGAATGGGACCT